TTTCATGTGTTGATAATTCTACCAACTAAACTACCTTGAACTAAGTAAAACTAATTAAAAGTCAAACCGGTTGGATTATAGTAAACTCAATCTCTTCTGTAATAATTCAGTACTTCCATGGTTAGGAGGCAGGAGGGGAGACTGCTAAAAACAGTTTGTGATTAGTTCACAAATAATTTGAAGATATTTGGTGGGTTTTCTCCATGCTCAGTGGCAAAAATCTCCCTCCCTCCCCCCGCCCACACACAAATGTGAAATCAACTATCCAAAACTCACAAATTTAACAGTTACTATTAACCCCAATCTCAAATGCCATTAAAGGTCAGGATTGGAGAACAATGACAAAGCCCTAAAGCTTAACACTAGAAGACTCCAAAAATGCAAGTAGTGTTGTGGATTGGTACAAGAAAAGTCTAGACCCATATACCATTTGTGCTTTACATCTAACTCATCATCTTTCAGCACTATTTAATATGCCCAATTCAATGAGACACAAGGTCTCAAAAACCTCTGTGTTTTGAATTCCATGCACTGCAGGTAAAACACTGTGATCAAGGACATAACTTTCATTTCCAAGTGAATGATTTGTCACAAAATAGCAGCTGAGACGTCCCTTCTTCAAACTCACTGACAAGACTCAGCAAACTAAACCATAGTTATATTCTTAACATCTGGTCTGTGAGTGTTATTAGCATTTAATAATCCTTTAAATACAATGCAAGTGGAACACTGCAAGGATTCTAGCTTCCCTGATAACTTTTTAAGAGTTATTAATTTGGATGCATTGTCAAAGCATCTGTGAGTGACTTCATTCCAATGTGATTAACTGTCGGCAGATACTTTATCTTGATGAGCTTGAAACACATTTCCCCATCTGATTCTTATTTCTGTATAAAGCTATCAGTTAAAGTGATCATACTGGGTATTTCATTACTATAAATACATTATAAAAAAATTAAACAACTTACCCTGAGTTTTGGATTTTTGAGACTAGAAAAATAGTTTTCAAGCTGAAAAGGGAACGATAAGATAGTCATTATACATAACAGAACACACATGCATAAAACACTGATTCCTAACACGAGAACAAAATTGCAGATGTTCTGACAATTTTCCCGCTGATAAGCTACATCAAGACACTATTTATTTCCATTTCGTTCTTTCTGGGAAGAAGCATACATGTGGTGTAGTGGGACAGTCCAAACCTCAACATGGTTTATCATCTTCAACACAGCACATCCTTATTATAAAGCTTTGTGCTATGTATCTCTAGTCACCAGAAGGTTATTTTCAATAGGCGACACAACTCTTCTCTAATACTGCATTAAAATAAAGCATTTGCCTCATTTCCAATAGGCACATCTACAACATAGGCAAACAAGAACAGATTTGCAAAACAAGATTGTGCAAGCATGTTACAGAATTTAGATCATGAAGGTAATGCATTTTTCCACAAAATAAGAGTTAGATTTCTATAGATTTTATTTATGAAGGAAACTATAAAGGTGAATGCACAAACACATTTAAGATGCTAGAGCAACTCTATTTAATTTAGATTGAGGACTATGAAGTATCCCAATACCCTAGCACGAGATCTTTCACACATTTATTATATACAGCACACTGAGAATTTTTTTAAATTCCTTCTGTAGAGTCTTTACTCAGAAAAAAATAGCTATTGTGTAGGAAAAGCACCAACAGAGTCAATGAATTATGATTCTAGGAATTTAGATTTCTTCATATGCAAGTGTATTTTTACTGGTTTATTTACATACAGATAACCACAGAGCTACACAGAATTGCAATCTTTCAGAAACCTGCTTAACTGAAGGCATCAAAACCTAACACTAACAATGGTGAACTAGAATTTGGATATATGTATGCATGCTAAGAGACTAAGCTATGTGAATAAATTGTCCCTACCCCAAAAGCTATAACGTACATCCCTAGATGCAAGAGGAAGATAAATGAAAAACACCAAGAATTTAAGTGTGTAAGACCAGCACAGCATTTCAAAGGGAAAAAACAAAAGATTCGCCAGCCTAAATTTGTACTCACTATGGTACGATCAATAGTATGCAGGTAGTAAGAAACTGGTTTCCCAGTCCATGAAACCGACCCTTTCAGTGGTGATAACTCCACAACTCTCATTATAGTGCCAATATCTGAAGGAAAAAAGACAGTTAGGAAATCAAGGTTAGCGTCCTTAGCATTCTGAGGATGCTTCTGCCAGAAAAGCCAGTCCACACAAACTCTGACCAGCTGCATGGTGGATTTAAAAATGTGCACATGCACACACTTACTTAAAAGGGAGCTACATGGGATACACACACAGCCCTAATGCCAAGTGACTGAGTTTTCTGAGAAGATATATTTGGCCACATTATATGGTGCTACTTTAACTGCTCAAGTAGACCTGGAAACTCTGTGGTCTAATTTATATATTTTAACTAATTCTGTGCTTTTTCCACCTAGAGTTTAGCTAAAAATCTGTGGAATTCAAAATGCATCTTCAGGGTATGTACTGTATTGCTTTTATTTTTCTGGCACATACACAATCATCTTGGACCAAAAGTAGCAACAGTAGGCTTTCAATCTGACAATGAGCCCAACTATTCTTTCAAAATAACTGGTTTGAGGAACCCACTGGCAATACAGTTACAACAGTATGGACATGGGGGACTTAATTTTGTTAGAAACTTGTCACATATCCAGGCAAAAGCTTTGGCTGTAACCAAGGCTTTAAACCTAACTACAGAATGCTGTAGTCAGCAAATGCTTAATTCAATGGCATGAATGTGTAGGAGAGATTACAGATACTTATTTCTTCTGAAAGACAATAAACCAACTGAGTCTGAATGTATACGAACATTACATAAGGACAAATACAAGGTTTAGGATATGCTCAGTAAGATCACTTGTTTAACTAAATTTTTTTAAGTCTGGTCTGGCTCAAGAAGGGCATAACAAATGGGGTTCTTCATGGGTCTGTTTTGGGGCCGGTTCTGTTCAGTATCTTCATCAATAATTTAGATGATGGGATAGAGAGTACACTTATTAAGTTTGCAGATGATGCCAACCTGGGAGAGGTTGCCACTGCTTTGGAGGATAGGGTCAAAATTCAAAACGATCTGGAGAAAGAGTCTGAGGTAAGTAAGATGAAGTTTAATAAGGACAAATGCAAAGCACTCTACTTAGGAAGGAACAATCCATTTCACACATACAGAATGGGAATAGGGTTGCCAGATGGCTGAAACCAAAATGCCGAACTCCCGCCCTCCACTTCTCCCCCCGCCCCACAAAAAAAAAACTGGGAAAAAATTCTGTTGGAGAAAAAAAAAGGGGAGGGGGAGAGACTAAAGCTGTTGAGCATTAAACAGCATGTCCCCTTTAAGTTCAGGGATAGGAACAAGGGAGTCGTTGAGCACTAAGACGCAGGGGAAGCAATACTTC